GAAAGAGTGACTCCTCTCAATGGCTAATACAGCCAAAAGCAACTTTATAAAAGCTGTACAATATATCAGTTTGTTTAAACTTAAAAAAACGCTTCTTAAAAATTGTTTTTTTATGAAGAAAGTAAAATTTGTTTAGAAATGCAGAAAACTGATTATTTTATTTTAAGAAAAAGTTTTTCTAAAGAAAAATAATTAAACAAATAGGCCAATAGAAAGTCTTACTTAACAAGGTAATTAGAAATCATTGTGGTCTTTAGCAGTCTGGTTGTTATGCTGGAATTGAGAATGATCCCTTTCATGCAAGCCCTTGGAATTTCATTTTACACGTATATCAACTCTTTTCCTACTATGTGGACTGGTGATTCTTTGTATGTAGCTTTACCATGTTTTTTGGCTGACCACATTGCATAATTCCATATATGGTGGTTGTTTCATTGATTATTATACTATTTCTTGCCATTTATTGCAGGAACTTAACAAAAGGAAGCTTAGAAAGTCACTCTTTTTAGGGTGGGAGGCCTCAACATGTTTCCTACCATGCGCAACTATTTTTAACCCGTTAGATTATATATTTGAAAATCAACAGCTGGCATTATTTTTTGCTTTTTCTTTTTTCTTTTTTTATCTTTGTTTTCCGAATTTTGCCTTTATGTTGCCTCCTCTCCCGTGACGCAACAAAACCCTTTTTTTCTTGCTTTATGATTGTTTCTCTCTTCTCCTCATCCTCTTCCTTTCCCCCTGACCACCAGCACCGCTTAGCCTCTCCAAGTCCAATTTACTCTTGTTTCTCTCCGACGACAATCTCTGGCTAGTTAGGTTGACTTTGTGGTTTGTCTGGATTGATTTGTGTTATTTTGGATTGATTTTGGGATTTTTTTCTGGACTGATTTTGTGGTTTGATTTTTGAGTTCCTCGCTTCATTAATTTTTGGATTGTTTCTACATTTTGTGCTTCATTATTGTTCTTTTCGATTGATTGTCTTAAGAAAATGAGTTAAGAGTCTAACTCAACATTACAAAACCGGTTTGTAAGGTGAGAGTTATTCTCTATTTATAAATTCTTTATTTGTTTTATCTCTAGTTGATTTAAGAATTGAGTTGTTTCCCATGGTGGGAGACTTGGTTAGGTTGCCTACCTTAGCCTTCATCATATTCTTCGTTATGTCTGTTTTTATGCTTTTGATTTTAGAGTTTGGTTTAAGGTCTGATCCCTAGGCGTAAATCTCTTTCATTTTGAACCAAACAAGCAAAAAACAAAAGAATGGTTACAAAAAATCCTTTTTCTAGTTTCTTCTCTGTAAACCCAAGTATACTAACTTCCTTCCCTTCCTTTTTACCCTGGAACCAAAGCATGTTTTTTTCCCTATTTAATTTTATTTGGTAATATGAGGATCGTTCCAAAGATGGTACTTTTTGGTTTGTGATATTTAATACGGTTAATGATTAATGAATATGAGAAAGACCACTTAGGGCTCTTGCCCTCCTCATACCTGTCAAAGGCCATAACCACTTGTTTTCATATTAACCTGTTAGGTTTGTGTTGTAATTGTTTTTGTTAAGTTATTCTGTGACTTTCTGATCAATATGCAAAATAGGCTTATATATATGTGCTCTGTTTGGAATCTTTCTGCCATTGCATCAAAAGGAACTATAGAATCTTCAATGATAATAAAGAGATGGTTTATCTTGCGTCTTTGCTTTGTTCTCCTTACTGTTATTAGTTTTTTAGTAGGAAATTCCTCTTTTGATATTCAAGGAGATTTGGTGTTCTTTTTCTTCCATTCTGTTAAGAGTTAGGGTGGTGTCATATCTCCTACTTCTTTCTTTTGTTGTAAAGATTGCTTGCCCTTATTCTTGTAATTTCTCATTGCAGTCTTAATAGTACTTGTCAGAAGGAAAAAGAAAAGCTAATTCTCTGCCACTGTCTAATACCCTATAATTCAAGAATTTATGTTATTGGTTTATCCTTTCGTATGACCCTTATCACGTATTTCTTGTTCCTTGAATTTGGTGCATATGGCTAGAGAAAAATGCCCAAGTTATCAGGGTTAATCTCTTGCTGTTTCTTTGTCAATGAATTGTATTTGTTTTGTGAGTTTTTGTCATGCTCAGTGATCATTTTGGAGGTATTTTATTGATGGATGTGTTGATGTGTTGATGAGCTTTGTTCATTTAATGTGCTTTTCTGTTTATTTTTCTTCAGTTATATAAGCGCCCTTTTAAATCTGGAAAAAAGGGATGCAGGAATTGAACTTAAGCTGTGAAGCTACCCATTGGGGATCGTGGTGGGTGTCATGTGTGCTATAAAAGCCCATTGGCTTTTTCTAATTTGCTTCGTGGTTCTATTTAGAACCTTTCTTACTAAAAGTTTAATTTGTTTGGTGATGGTTCATGAATGGTGTTATACCTAGTAGTTTCTTTTGTGGGATATCTTTTACTGTGATATTTTATGATGAAATTTCTTTTTGAGAAGAAAAATATTCCTTCTACCTTGTGGCCTGTGGGAGTAGGGATGTACTCGTTGAATTTAAAGAGCTTGGATTGATTGATTGTCTTAATGTATTTTGTTTGTCCATTCTTCTTGTTTCTTTTAGGTCAAGTCTTCATAGTTCATACACCTGTTGTGATTATTCTATTAGTAAATTGCTTCTTGTGTAATGTCTCTGTGTTGGGTTTTTGCTCAAGTCTTGACGGTGCAATTTTACTATTTTAGTTTTGTTGCACTTCTATGGTTTAGTTGTGTTAATTTGTCTGCTTTGGTGCAATTTGTTAGTTGTTTCTTACAAATTGCTTAGATAAATTTCTTTAGAAGTACTCCTAAGAGAAAAAGATAAGAAGGAAAATCGAAATAAGCTTCTTCATTAGTTATAATTGTGAAGCTATCCATTGGGGATTGTGGTGGGTGCCATCTGTGCTATAAAAGCCCATTGGCTTTTTCTTAATTTGCTTCGTGGTTCTATTTAGAACCAACCTTCCTAAAAGTTTAAGTTGTTGGGTGATGGTTCATGAATTGTGTTATGCTTAATAGTTTCTATCGTGGGATATCTTTACTGTGAACCTGTGGCTTTGTTTCTATTTAATAATGAAATTTCTTTTTGAGAAGAAAAATAATCCTTGTACCTTGTGGGGGTATTTGAAAAGCTTGGATTGATTGATTGTCATGTCTTGATGTATTTTTTTTGTCCATTCTTTTTGTTTCTCGAGGTTAAGTCTTCAAAGTACATGCACCTGTTGTGATTATTCTATTAGTAAATTTCTTCTTGCGTAATGTCTTTTTGTTGGGTTTTTGCTCAAGTCTTGGTGCAATTTTACTATTTTAGTTTTGTTCCGCTTCTATGGATTTAGCATGTCATGCCACCATTAGAAGCACAGTCTGCTCTGCATTAAGCAAGCTGTGGATGCAAAAAATGCTTTTTAGCTATTTCTTAGGAACTGTTTAGATAAACTTCTTCAAAAACACTTTTAGGGAAAAAAAATAAAGAGGATAATCGAAATAAGCTTGTGTATAACTTAAAAAAATAAGATTTTGGAGAAGTTAAAAAAGAGAGTTTTTGCAAATTAGCTAGTGAATAAGCTAATTTTAGCCTTTAGAGAAGCTTATTTCACTTTTTTCTTCTTATTTTTTTTCTCTCTTAGAAATACTTCTAGAAAAGTTTACCTAAACAAATCCTTAGTACTTCAAGATATTGGATGTTGATAATCACTTTATATTGGTAACTGGCATCTGGTTATGGAATTAATTTTTTTCTTTCAAAGTATTAAAATCTAAATGGTTGAAATGTATGATAATTTCAGTTATTTATGTTCTTAATCACAGGATAAGCCATCAGCAATGTCACGGGAGGAAGATTACTCATGGGATGAACGGAATTCAACATTAAGGGTATCTCCTTTCTCGCAAAGAGAGTTTAGAGGACACCATGGTAGCCCCGAACCACATTATTCTGACAAATCCAAGTTGAGTGATAAAAATCCAGAGCCCAGTGAGGTTTTGTGGATTGGGTTCCCAGCTCAGTTGAAGGTGGAAGAATCAATTTTAAGAAAGTCTTTTTCTCCATTTGGTGAGATAGTGAAGATTACTACATTTCCAGGTCGTAGTTATGCTTTTGTTCGCTTTAGGAGCCTGACGTCTGCATGCAGAGCAAGAGATAATCTGAAGGGAAAATTATTTGGGAATCCCCGTGTACATATTTGTTTTGCCAAGAGTGAAACAGGTTCATCGAGCAGTGAGAGGAGATCATTTAATGCCCCTCGTTCCCCAATTTACAAGTCAAGTGGTCGGGATGGATCTGCTGAGAACCTCAGACAGGATAGGAGCTTCAATGGAGATCGCATCATTGGTTCTCCAAATCTTTTCCGGAATCGGGATTCTGATGCTTATGATAACCGAAGGGGTTCTTCATGGGCTGGTGGAACAAACTCGTATGAACAAAGGAAAGTTGGAGAGAAGGGGAGAACACTAGGAGTATCACAAGAAATGTATGAACAAATGAATAGTCCATCAAGAGATAGACATGCTCATGTGGATGATTTTCCACAGAGGTTTCCTCAAAAGGATGCATTCTTTGAAGATTTGAGGGACTTGCCAGATGTTCCATATCTACGGGAGGCTAAAAGGCTGAAGACTGGTTCACCTCCTCCTGAAAGAGAGCTTCCAGAGTATCCTTTCTTCGAGTTAGAAAGACAGAAACGTGAGTTCCCAAGATTATTAACTGATTTACCCCCACACGAGCCTTTTGATAAAGGCTTTGATGCTGGAAATTTTAGTTATGGCCAGACTCTTGATCATCCCCCAAATTCCCCTCTGCATCGTTTGGATAGACATGAAAGCTGGAAACCTTATGATAGTTTGCAAATAGGTCCCGGTGCTGTGCAGTCAACTTTTGTTGAGAACAAAAGATTCACGCCTGAACCTGAAGGTTCATCTTTAACTGAGTGGAAATGGGAAGGAACCATTGCTAAAGGTGGCACTCCTGTTTGTCGTGCACGCTGCTTCCCTGTGGGGAAAATCCTAGATATCATGTTGTAAGTATTCAATATTCCTTTCAAAATGTTTTATTTTTTGGCTCTGAAATAATTATATTTTTCTATATTCTTAGATAGTCAAATTTTACCAAGATTCATGAGATAGAACTTCTCTTGAAAGGGGTAAAAAATAACAGATGACGCGAGAGGGAAAAAAAAATTGCCTGTATATCACAAGACAAATTCTTGTATTCTGTTGGATCTCACTGACCTTGTAATTAGGGCAATCTCCCCTCCCCTTAAATTTTGATTACCAGGAAAAGATGATATATTGATTTTGCTAAAATTTATAGACATTTTTATTACCTGAAGCTTGTAGTTGGACTTTTGTTTGAAACACTGCCTCATTGTTTTTTAGCATAACTGCATAAGCTTTCAAGTTAATTTTTACTGTACAGAGATATTTTAATGGGTACATTATACTTCACCTCCCTATAGTTCTACTCTATTTCTAATAACCTTCCTGTACTCTGTTTTGTCAGTTAAACAACCTTGAATTTGGTCTAAGTTGAAAACATTAACTTTCCATTTAACTTTAATGGCAATATAACATTTTCTCAACTTGCCACCTAATATTTTTATAGTTGACATGTAAAATAAGTGGCAATTTCATGCGATGTTTGAATTCACGGAAAAGGATATTATGTAGCGGAATGATACTAAATTAAATGTTTAATATTTGATGAAAAGTCTCACATCACCTGTCTCAATTATGGAATGTAGTTTATATATTTATTGGGAAACTTCAATACCAGTTGGTTTAAGATGAAATTTAACAATATCCACATAAGGATTTCAGATAAATGTCCAACTGCTTTGTTATTATTATTTTTATGAGGTCCTTTTGGATACATAAGCACTTGGAGAAGAAGATAAGAAGGTAGTATGGATTGATTTTATTTTATTTTTAATTTTTTTTTCTTCTCTATAAGCTAAAACTATCTGCTCTTAACTTCATAGAAGTTTTCTCATCAACTTTCCCAAAAGATGAAGGGTACAAGTTGATTTTAGTTTATGGGAAAAGTTCAATTTATTTTATGATCTTATTTTCTTCTCCTATAAATACTTATTTATGGAGAAGTTTATCTAAACAAAGTTTAAAATTAGTTTATGGTTGGTTTGTTCACATAAATTACAGTCATTGCTGGAACTTTAACTTATTTAATTTAATTTAAAGGAATTGAGAGGAAGGTAAGAAATTAGGAGATATGCAGTAAGAGGTAGAAAATAATCTAGTCATCCAAGTATATAATAGTGATGTTGGTTTGTTTGATAAACAGTATAGTATTACTTGAAACGTTTTATTGCACTTGAGCTGGATTATGTATGGCTTTAGAACTTGTCCAATTATGCATTTACATTTATGCAACTATGTTATCGAATTAAATCTGTATCTTTTATTTATTATGCATAAATGTATAAAACATCTTATTAATGTTCGAATTGAAACACCATTCTTCAATAAAAGTGTTGAGAGGAAACAAAAGTGTTATTATATAATATGGGTAATAAATGAGTGATTAATTACAGGTATTCTAATTGCATCATTACCACTATCATCATGTAGGTCCTAGAATAGACCCTTGACAAAACGAACAAGATACAATATCTAAATATCTAACAATATCCATCAGAAGAATTCATTGGATAACAGAAAAGAACTGAATATGAGGATAAGGATTCCCCCTACCGCAACCAAAAAAGGGAGGATAAAAACATTAATTAGCTCAAACGAAGATCTACTGTCCCCTAGACCATAGGAATCTCCGCTCAATAACTCTCGCATTACAATACACTCGTCAACATTGCAACCATGCAACTATAGCACACTGCAAAAGAAGTTTACTATCATTTTTTCCTCTCAATTGTTTTACTTGGGTATTAACGTGGATACATTTCAGACCTGAATTCTTGGATTGCACTGCAAGAACTGGCCTAGATATGCTTGCAAAGCATTACTACCAAGCGGTTGGTGTTTGGGTTGTCTTCTTTGTGCCTGGAAGTGATGCTGACATCGAATTCTACAATGAATTTATGCATTATCTGGAGGAAAAGCAGCGCGCTGCAGTTGCCAAGTTGGATGACAAGACAACTTTATTTCTTGTTCCTCCATCAGAGTTCTCAGAGAAAGTACTGAAGGTACCTGGCAGGTTGAGCATATCTGGTGTCATTCTGAGGTTGGAGAATCCTGGTTTAAATAATCATGGTCCAGGACACGTTCAAGGAGAAACGACAAATGAAAACCTGTTGTCCTATAATGAGAATATACTCCATCCAAAGTCATCATTTCCATCAGTACGTATTCCTACATCTCCATCTATTTCAGAATTGGGGAACTCTGGAATCAGCAATCTTTCATTTCTGGGAAATAAGTTTGCCGCAGCTCCATCAGTTTCTGATTCAGCTCACGATGAAAGAAGTCGCAACTATCCTATCCAGCAGCGGACTTCTGGACCAAACTGGTCTTCACAAAATCTGCAGAACTTAATCTCTAATAGAACTCTACCATTGCAACAATCAGGTGGTACTTTAGAACCTGTGAATGAAGAACGCCAACCCATCAGGGCAGTGCCAGATGTAAACTCAATTCAACATTCCGGTATTCCATTTTATGGCGATGGCAAGTTGTCTTACCCAGATATCAGACATTTAGATCCTTTATCAGTGCCTGTGGGAGCTGTTCCACCAGAACAGCTTGCACAACTAGCTGCATCTCTTCTTGAGCAGCAGAGGCAATCAGGAAGCTCTTCGAGTGCATCTGCATTGGGTGATCCCCGGCATATGAACAGATTTAACGCGTCTGACACCTCACCAAGATTCAGCACATCAGACACCTCCGCCAGACCACCCCAGAAATATGCTACAGAAAACAATCTGGTGAATTCTGATCTCTCAACATCTCAGTTTGGTCAAATTCTACAGATGCAAAAGCAACAACAGGTCCCAAATGCGCCTCAGTTGCCACAGATGGCACAAAGGGAGCCACAAAAAGAGGCTAACGGAAATCAGCTGTTGACAGATAATAGTAGCTTGCAGGAAGATGCTGATGCAGATCCACAGAAACGTCTACAAGCAACGCTACAGCTGGCTGCTGCTCTTCTTCAGCAGATCCAGCAAAGAAAAGGAAGTTGAACAGTGCCAGGATACTTGCTGTTAATGTCTGTAAGTAGGATGGTCGGATTTTAATTGATGCATTGCAATGCAGTGGTTTGTAGGCAGTGTCATTTGCGATGGAGATGTTGCAGTTCTTACTTAGTTGTTTAAATTAGCTTTTACCTTCACAGTTCTCTCATTAGCTTAAAATTACCGTATTACTATTTATCAAGACTAACGTGACATATTCTCATGCATTGTTTCCCTCTCAACGCCCATCCACTCTCTCCCCACCTGCGACTGCTTTCTAATGTGCTTGCAAATTCCTGTTACTCTCACAGTAGCAAAGCAAAAATACAAAATATCCACATGAATCAAACCTGCGACCTCTTCCATCGCAAAAGCCATCGTGCAATAGTGTTTTGTGATACAAGACAAACATATATTATAGAACTGTTTGTTTAAACTTAAAAAAGTGCTTCCAAAAGAGTGTTTTTTGAATTTTTTTTTAAACAGATAGGAGTTTTTTTTTTTTTTTTTTTTTTTTTAAAGAACAGTTTATTTAAAAATATATTTATTTTTATTAAAAAAGAACTTTAAAAAAAATAATTAAACAAACGGATCTTATATTCATACATTGACGTTCTAATTTTTTTTGTACGGAGTTACTTAAATATCCAATCAGTGACTCATTTATTGAGTAGTCTTACTGAGTAAGCGATGATAAAAATTTAAACAAGTTGAAAAATTCTCTGTTCCTGTAGTAATAAATGTGAGACAATGATTTAGACACTATGCAGTATATTACAATTTCTGTCGGATAAGAAAAATGTTTACATTTACTTTTTTGGGGTTATATTACAACGAATCTAATTGCAATCGACTTGTTTTTTCAAGGAAATTTAATTTTGTCACGATGAATAAAAAATTCATTTCAAAATAACAATCATGTTTTTTCAACATTAAGGATAACCTTATAAGTTTCATATACCCTTATTCAACATATGTTGTTTAAAAGATTATGATAATAGCAACTATATTTTTTTGAATTCAAGGTTAGAGACAAACTTATAAACTATAAAGTTTATATATCCTATATTTTTATGATAGCTTTTGACATCAATTTCAAAGACAACCTTAAAAGGTCATTTCCCCCCCCCCCTCCCAAATTCAAGGTTAGAGACAAATTTATAGGGTTCACATTCTCTAAATTTTCTCATGACAAGTAAAAAAATTCATCTCATAATAGCTACCGTTACTTTTCAACATCAGGATTAGAGATAACATTAAAAGGTTCATATACTCTTGTTCATCATGTGTTGATTAAAAGATTCATCTCATAAGAATAATATATTTTTTTTAATTCAGGATTGGGGACAAATTTATAGGGTTCATATACTATATATTTTCTCATGATGAATAAACAATTCATCTATAATAATAACCACATTTTTTGACATCAAGGTCAAAAACAACCTTAAAAGATTTGTATACCCTTGTTCATCATATATTGATTAAAATATTTGTAAAGAAAAGAAAGACACTAGAAAGGAGGTTGAATAGTGTTTATGAAAAACTCAACACTTTTTTGAAACAATAAAGTAGTCACATAAGTCTAAAGGAGCGCAAACAAAGTAAAACAAATAATACAAGGTATTTTATTTTAGTTCACTTCAACCACCGAGATTACGTTTAGTTCTTGATCAACTCGATCAAATTTCACTATCTTTTACGAAGATGCAAATATTCCTTCACAAGTCACTTCTGACTCAATCTAAGTGTTCTTTGATTTGTCTCTACAAGTAAACTACTCAATTAACAATTATTGTTTGAATAACAAAGACTACTCAGTTGACAATTATTGTTTGAATAACAAAGTCTCTCTAGGTTTCAATACCAAGTATTTTTTAAACAAAGTCTCTATAAATTTTAAGCTAAAATACACAATTTAAGCTGGGTACAAAGATTTACAAAGAATGAATAAATTGGATGAATTAAATCTCTCCCTCTTCACTATGTGGTTCAAGCTACTTTAAATTTAAAAATGAACGTTGCAAATCCTTGAGTAGCACTTTCCGACCAGTTTCGTCTTACTTTCTCTTGCTTCCTTGTAAAGCTAGGTGTTCATTGATGCAATAAAGGATTGTATTAAATGCGTTTCACCAAATGATCATTTTTTATCTGATCAAAGAAATTACTTATCACCTTCTTGGTACAAAGAAAAAAGAACTTTTGCGTGAGTTAATCGAGAATGACTTTTAGCTGACTTCACATGTTTTGAAATATTTGCTCGTCCTTTTTCTGACAAAAGAACATCCTTGTTCTTTTTATACATTGCGAGTACCAAAAAAAGATTTTGTTCTTTCAATTTGTTAAGGAATACTATGAATGCAAATGATAGAAACATCATTATTAAATGAGATATTTAAGACATTCAGTTTAGACAAACAAATTGTTTAGTCTGAAAGATTATCATGCATTTCCTCATTCATTATCATCTTTGACTATGATTTATACTATTATCTCAAAAAATTGATCTTTTTATATATTTGCATAAACATCTAAGTTTGTTAACATTAAAACATAAATTGAGGGGTCCTAGATCATCATTTGATCTAACAAGATTTATCTCATAATAGTAACCTCAATTTTCCAAATTTAGGGTCAAAGATAAATTTACACTAGTGCATAAAACACATACAACATTGAGGTTTTAAAATTTTGTTACCATGTAACCAATTTTAAACACAAGTGGTGGCATAAATGTAATTAAAGTTGAATTTTCTAAATTAGTTGAAAAAAAATTAATTTAGTAAGACCATTAAAACTCGGTCGTAAATAAACCCAATTTTACAAGTGATATTTAGTTTCATTTTCTAAATGAGTTGTTTACAACTAATTTAGACTGTGACTTATAAAATCCGTTGTTCAAATTACTGATTTTATAAGTACCATTCTAAATCAATCTAAACAATTGATTTAGAACGGTGTTTACAAAAGCAAGTTTCCCACATCACGAATTACATTCTCAAGCTCTCATCTCTCTCTCATGACTATTTTCTCTTGTGATGCCATGTAGTTGGCACCCTTTGCTCCTTTTATATGCACATGAGGTGTTTGTTGTATTGTCTCGAAGAAAAGTTGTATGTTTTTTTAGTTTTATTTGGTTAATTGGATTGTGTTTGTCAGTAAGTCAGAGAGATGCACATACTTGTACACACATATTGCTTGCTCTTTTTATATGCACATGAGGTATTTGATGCATTGTCTTAAAGAATTAGTTTTATTTGTTAATTGAATTGTATTTGTTAGTTAGACACCATAGGCACCATTGGTGCCATTATAGGCTCCTAAGTTGGCACCATAGCACAAGGGTGATATAATTGGTTAAGTTTTTTCGCTCCTACTAACTAAAACTTGGTTTCAAATCCAACTTCTCTTATATTTTATATCATTTTATATAGACTTGCACCGAGGGTGAGTAAGCAATTCATAATCTCATAGAATCTAAAAAAGATAAGTGGTTGATTTTAATCTTGCATGAAATCGTATATTATCTTAATCTAAACGTTTTGGTAAAAAAAATATTAAAAAAAATTGCCACCCTCATAGACAATTCCATATAGAAATTAAATTTTAAAAATTTAAAATTGTAAGTTATAATATCAGTTAGGTTATATTTAAGGTAGAAATCAGGTTCCTATACGTTATACTAAAAAAAATTATGCATAGAAAAGTTGGCACCATCATAGACAACTCCATATAGAAGTTAAAATTTAAAATTTAAAAATTATAAGTTACATGATTAGTTAGATTATATATAAGGTAAAAAAATTGGTTTCCTATATTTTATATTAAAAAAATTATGTATTGAAAAATTAGGTTCCCAATACCATGCATAAAAAAGAAATAAGAATTTTAAATTTAATAAGTTGAACAACAAATTTGTGAGTTAAGAATATCTAACGTAAGTTAGCTAAACATGACTAAATTAGGTACACTATAAATAAATGAGTTACAAATACAATATACTAATTAGTTTATTTTAGAAAAATTAAAATCACTAAAGTAAGCATAACTTAGTAGTTACTAAGTTAGCATTGAATTAATTAGGTGTCTTATAATTAATAAGATATATGTGCAATATATTTGTACTTTTTATAATTTGTGATTTAATTATATGTGTTGGTTTATTTGTGTTTTTAAATATATTTGATATTAATTAGTAACTTAGTATTTACTAAGTAAAGTAAAGTAATTAGATGCCTTACAATTAATTAGGTATCTTCGGTTGTTAAATAAAGTAATTAATTTAGAAAAATAAAGTACTTTATTTTTTAAAAAATAAATTTGATATTAAATTTATGTATGCATTGAATCAGTCTTAAGCTAAATTTGGTTTTAAAAGAAGGTTCTCTGTTTTTATTTTTGAAAATAATTTTTATTTTTAAAATTTCAAATTTAGAAAATATGTTTAGTTTGATTTCTAATTTATGATTAAAATATATAATATTATAAAAATGTATATATTAATTTACTTAACTTTATATATTGTTTTAGTTTTAAAACCATTAAAGTGTAGCAAATCTAAGATTCATTTTTATTTAGCTTACTATAGGAAAAATATTTATTATATATAACTAAAAATTTATAATAAATTATATAAACAAATAAATATTATGTTTGAATATATATATATTTATATATATATATATATATCATATTTAAAATTTGTATAAATAGATATTTTTAAATATTAAATTATATTTTAAATTTATAATAAATAATTTATATTATAGCATAATGTTATTTTTATTTATTGATAATTTATTTTAAAATATTAAAATTGAATTCATAAATAAATGTGATAAATAAAAATTAAATTAAGTAAAAAGTTTAAAATAAAAAACTCTAAAAATTTTCTCATTGAAAAGAAATCTTAAAAACATTTTCGTGTAAGATAGATATTCATATGATAAATAAAAATTAAATTAAAAAAAGTTAAATTTTTTTAAAAAAAACTCTTTGTTAAAGGACCCCCTAAAAATACTCTTGTATAAGATAAATATTTGTATTTAATATACAAGGGTTGATTTATTAAACAATTTTGACCTACTTAAACTATTACATCATATTGGATTAAGTTTTTAAAAAGGAGATATCTATGGAGTATGGCTTACAAAATTAAACACATAGATTTAGTATCTCATACACTACATTTATAAATAAAAAAAAACTAATAACATGAAAGCAAGTT